TCAGACAATGTCAAAACAATGGAAAGGTATGACTCTACCAGAATTGCTGGTGGCTGCCGTTGATAGACCGTTGTGGAAAAGACTTAGTGTGGCTTCTGCATTTGGATCCCCACTATGATTAAAAACGTCAATGGGATGAGAAAGAAAAAAAGAAATATGGAAGAAATGGATAACTTGGATCAAAAGGTTAAAAAAAATGTATAAATTCACTTTCATATATTTAGAGCTTATTACAATTCTTATGATCACCTTTTTAAGACAATAAACATTGCCGAGGAGTGAAGGTAGTTAAAATAATAGCGGTGTCAAGGAAACAACCGTTTTTGACCCCTTTTTTGTTTGTTTTTTGTGGGGGGTTGCGGACGTGGAGCTCCAAGATTGACAATGTTTGAGTAGCAAATACTAGTACCTCACCCTTCAGAAATCTCTTAGATTTCTCCTTGTATCGCTTTTGTAAGTCCTCTTAACAATATCCAAGCCTTCAATCCTCGTTCTTTTTACTTTTCTCTCTGTCTAGTCCTCTCGAGATGACATGTTGCAGGACACATGAAAAACATACAAAACTTTCATTTGTCATCAATGAAAGGAAGAGGATACAGTCATTTCTAGAAACACAGTGAGGGTCGCGAATCAAGCACCAAAAGCCGCCAAGAAGCTTAAATTATATGTTTAGCTTTAATTAAAATGTTGGTTTTCTGAGAGCACAGTCTTATTATTGCATCGTTAAATCTGTTTTCTTTTTTTTTTCTAATCAGTAGGTGGCTAATTAAAACTGACTGAAGAAAGATAAAGGAACATTTTTTTTTATTTGGGCCCAACAGATCGTACAAAGAGGAACAGAAATACATTTGTTAACCGAGCATCTTCTTGCTGTTCGTTTTAGTCGTCATCATCATGACCGGGTTTTCGTGTTGGGTTGCTGTTAAGTCGACCCTCTGTCTAGCTCCCTTCATACATCTCGGTTGCATGCCGATGTCTGAGTCTCTGTGAATGATCCTGTGTCTGAGTAAATCCATTTTCCTTCTGTCTATCTCTTCTACTTTTTCCTTTTTTAATCATTTCACCCCAAGCAAGGCGATAATGCCACTAAGATGCAGGGTGTTACAGGAAGTGAAAGTGAAAGTGAAAGAGAAGACTGAGAATGGGAAGGATTGAAGAAAAGCAAAAAAAAAATAAAGTTTCAAGTAGACACGAGATGGCGATTGATGTTGCATTTTTGAAGATTACAGTTATCAGGGAAGCAAGAATTCGGGAGTTCCACAGGTGGGATGTGCGAGAAAAGGAAACTTTTCTAGTAGAAGTGGCGTTTGCATCTAGCATGTGATGCTTAAATTCATGTGCTAGGGGCACCAAGGAAAAAGTGAAATCAGAGCAGTTGCTATGAAAATATTTGTAGAAAAACGCGTCACGTCGGTGAGAAAGTGACGAGAGTCCAAGATGCCTGGTCAGAATCAATTATATTGCAGACCCAATGCCTAAAGTGGCACGATTTATAATTGCAGTAGAAATATACCATTTCACCATTTTCATGGCAGATATGAGGTATTCCGGCTGCTCTGTTTCTTGCTTGCTTTGTTTTGTTTTACGGTATATCAACCTCAATGGGTTATTTAATGTCGATAAGATTTTTATAGCTGCTAATATTTTTTTTTCAAAAATGTATTGCTGGTAATTTTTTTTTCAAATATATTGCAGGTAATTTTGTTTCAAAATATATTGCTGGTAATATTTTTTTTTCAAAAATATATTGCTGGTAATATATTTTTTAATGTATTGCTGGTACAGTTTAACCCGTATATAAGAGAAACCCGGATATAAGAGAGATTTTCTCCGGTCCCAAATTAGAGCCTGTGTTAATGTATAAAAAATAGATCAAACCCGGATATAAGAGAGATTTTCTCGGTCCCAAATTAGAGCCTGTGTTAATGTATAAAAAAATAGATCAAACCCGGATATAAGAGAGATTTTCTCCGGTCCCAAATTAGAGCCTGTGTTAATGTATAAAAAAATAGATCAAACCCGGATATAAGAGAGATTTTCTCCGGTCCCAAATTAGAGCCTGTGTTAATGTATAAAAAATAGATCAAACCCGGATATAAGAGAGATTTTCTCCGGTCCCAAATTAGAGCCTGTGTTAATGTATAAAAAATAGATCAAACCCGGATATAAGAGAGATTTTCTCCGGTCCCAAATTAGAGCCTGTGTTAATGTATAAAAAATAGATCAAACCCGGATATAAGAGAAACCCGGATATAAGAGACTTCTTCTCCGGTCCCGACAACTCTCTTACATCCGGGTTTCACTGCAATATTATTTTTTTTCAGAAATGTATTGGTGTTTGATGAATAAATTATATATATATATATATATATATATATATATAAACAAAAATCCCTGATTTTACTAGTCTCGATAAAATAGACTGCCAGGATATTTTGCTGGTAAATATTTTATTATTATGAAGACAAGATCAAAGTCAGCAGTAAATAAATCAGTCTTATTGGTTAAAATGTATTTATTTCACTATTGGATCACGTTATTTAAGTCATGGCAATTATGTGTGAAAAATAATATCGCTCAAATGTCCGCCAAAGCTTCGACGGCACACTTCCACTCGATGGTCAAAATTTTTGATGACGTCTCTGCATATTTGCTCCTTGATCTCCCCAATATGCCTCATTATCTCATCCTTCAGCTGTTGAATTATTGTTGGCTTGTTGGCATAGACATTACTTTTGAGATGACACAAAAGGAAGAAATCTAAATGCCTCAAGTCACATGATCCTGGTGGCCAATTGACTTCGCTGTTTCGAGAGATAATGCGACCTGGGAACTTTTCATTCAAATTCTGTTTGAACGTCCATTTTCGTAATAGGTTCGATAACTTTAACACGTTCTCTGATTGTTAATCTTTCCCCGGTTGAAATTGCCAATCACTTAAGTTGTTAAATCTGAAAGAAAAAGAAAAAAATCATTCGACGCTTAAACTTAATTCACATTAAATACGGTCAATATTATTGGAACACCCTTCATTTTCACCATCAATCTTGAATTTTTTCCACTATCAATTGTTAAAACAAGTTAAAATCATTTATTCATCATCAGTTATTAAAAGAAATATAGAAGTCTCCGAATATGTTAAGACCTTCAGGCATAACAGCCTCTGCAAATCCAAACATTGCCCTTGGGCGTGGTTCTCTTGCTAATACACTTCAGGTGAAGCCACTGAAAACAACAGTCACAGATCACAGAATCCATGTTGTTCAAGCCAACACAGTTCACACAACCATTGCGCTGACGATCTCAAATATGATATATTCTTAGTTCTAAAACACTGTATTTTTAAAATCGGTGTCACCCCAAGCAAGGCACTAAAACACAAGGGGTTACATGGTGTGCAAGAATTAAGAACAGAAACATTAATAACGAGCGGTAAGAGGTGAGAGAAATCAAGAGGACAGTAGATAGCGATTGACATTACATCTAAAGTTTTGCAGAGTAAAGTTGGCTTAAAAGCATGAAGCCGGAAGGCAATTCCACAAGCGATAAGTGTGAGAAAAGAAACTGTTAGCATTGAACTTACAGCTTCATCCAGCCAGCGCAAGTGTAAATCGATGAGATATCGACACCAGTCTTGCTCTGCACTCAAATTCAAAACGTCTAGGTACCATAGCGAAGAGTTATTACTATCTAAGCAATTACCATGAAAGTAATTATAGAAAAGACACAAAGAGGCAACCTTACAGCGGTGTGAAAACGACTGAAGCCGAACCGCCACATCAGTACCGATAATATTGCTGATTCTTTTTTGGATCTTATCAAAGAGATCAAGGTAAACAGCAGGGCCACTGAACCATATGTGGTAGCAATATTCTAAGCATGGATGAATGGTAGACTTATAAATCTATAAGATAGATTGTGGGGATAAAAATTGTCTTGCCCAACAGTGTAAACTGATTTTTTTTAGCTGCCGGCAAAATAGCCTTGCTGTCTATTTTATCGGTACCGGTAAAATAGTCTACTCCTTAAATGTACATTATTTACATTATTCGGACTATTGTCCTCATCTTTGTCGCCATATTTATCACAACGTTTCGGCCGTTGTACGCTCCGGCCTTCTTCAAGTGGTTGGAATGTCGAACTGAACCCTTTATTTCGCTCACATATGCTAGGCCACAAAAATCTCCTGAGCCGACCAAGCATAGAAATAAATACAATATAGGAACCAGTAATAAGGAGTGTAATGATAACAACATAGTTGCAATATGAGCTCTGGTAAAAACATGAAATGATAACAGCAAAATTGCAATATGAGCACTGGTAAAAATGGTTGCTGAAGACATTAGGTTTATAATACCCAGAAATTCATACCCAGATGTCCTCAAGGACACATGGCACAGTGGATAAAGGCGTTGGTTAGATCAAGTGACGGGACCCAAAGAAGAGTACCCAAAGAGTGTGAGTTCAATACCCGGTTAAATCTCGAAATTAACAGGAGATAACTGACATCCATCAAAACATGAACTAAAACAGGCTACCCCGGTGAGCGAAGGCCGAAACGTTGTGATAAATATGGCGACAAAGATGACGACAATAGTCCGAATAATGTAAATAATGTACATAATACCTCATCTCAGAAATATAGACAGATCCTTAAATGTAAGTAGAAAAAAGCAAATGTTGATAGTGAGTGTCAAAAAGGACGGGGCCCCAATCAGGTTTACGGTCGAAGATGAGGATATTAAGCACCGACCCTTTCGTTTGCCTTTGTTACTCTTTGTCATGTATATGTATTTGTTTTACTTTTTTCCTGTTTGATATCTTTCTTTCCCCTTTTCTTTCAGCTTGCGTTCGGTGTATTCGCCAAAGTCTTCTTTATGAGCAAGCTAACTTTAACAGAGCTTAACCATGAGGAAAAAGCGAAAAACACCCCCGAAAATCCGTCTCGTGCGACAGTAAACGGCAACCATTTTGTAGGCGTCGACGCAGAAACCAACTGGCTAGCCGATGGCTGGAGAGATTGTCCTCGTGAACACGCCAAAGTTGGCGGTGGTAGTGGTGGCGGAGGAGGAGGAGTGCCCATCGTCAGAAGTGGAGGTGGGATGGTCATCGTCAGGGGCGGAGGAAGTGTGGTCGGCGTCGGCGTACCCGGTTCTGGTGGCCCACGAAGCGGCGGTGGTGGTGGTGACACTGCAGGAGCGGGAGGAGGAATGATTATAACAGGAGGAAGAGGACGAGAGGGAGGGGAAGGGTGTAGGGGAGATAGAGGGGGAAGTTCGAGCCGGGGGAGTAGCTTGGAAAGGGGACAAAGGCTGTGCAGCCACCACCGTCAGCTTTCGGGTGACGAGGGCAGCGGCGGCGCCGTCGCTAGCAGCGGCCATCACCACCACCATCATCACCACCATCATCACCACCACCAACATGGCGGAAGCGACAGGGGAAGCAGCGGAGGAGGGGCGTACTATGGAAGTACGGGAGAGATAGTCGGAGGAGGAGAAGTGCGAGGAGGAGGAGAGGTGAGAGAAGTGAGAGGAGAGGTGAGAGAAGTGCGAGCAGGAGAGAGAGGTGAGAGAAGTGAGAGGAGAGGTGAGAGAAGTGAGAGGAGAGGTGAGGAGCGGAGGAGAGGTGAGGAGCGGAGGAGAAGTACGAGGAGAAGCGAGAAGCGGAGGAGAGGTCCGAGGAGGAGGAGGGGGAAGTGGGAGGGAGAGCCGGGAGAGTCGGGAGAGTCGAGGCGGTCGCAGTAGCGGAGGCGGGACGGATAGTGCCGGAAGCGGAAGTGAAAGTTTGATGAAACGAAAAGAGTTAATCCAGATCGAACGCGACGTCAAGGCGATTCGCAAGTTCGTGAACGAAAGCATGCACCGATTATCTGAGGCAGACCGGCGGGAAAAACTGTCGAAGGAGTGGAAGGCGGTGGCTCTCATATTTGACCGCTTATTCTTCTTTTTCTACGTCATTGTAATCTCTATCTCCCTAATAGTGGTACCGGTCACGCTCAGAACTGGCATCGGTGAGTGATTACATAGAGCAATGAAGGGATGGAAGTTCGGGTTTTTTTCCGCATTTCTTTTAACGTTTTCTTTATCGAAATCATCAGCAAATAAAGAAAATAAGTTATTGAATCTTGGCATCTCTGGGGCAGTACTATGACAATACCCGACCCCAATTATACCCAAAGACATTACTGTTACGTTTCGGAGCGGGAAGGAGCTTATTATTATTGCCGGGGTTACTTTCTATTCTTTAAAGCCAAAAATGTCTAAATGCTTTCCTAACTGGCCAATATTTAATAAAAGTCAGAAATCATAATCAATTTCTGCCGATGACAACGTTTACGTATTTGGGGGCCGAACATCTGTAGTTATTTTTTCTTACAAAGGAATATTCAAAACTTTACAATAAAAAATGATAAGTAAAGACAATCCTTAAAAATCCATTTCTGTTATAGTTTATTTCATGAATATATTTAAATATACGTCTCTTCAGACCGAAGTTTTAAAAAAAAAATCCTTCGGTCTAAAGAGATATATATTTAAATATATTCATGAAATAAATTATAACAGAAATGGATTTTTAAGGATTGTCTTTACTTATTATTATATTGCCCTGTCACTTACTATCTTTGGATTCATGTTCTTCTTGGAATTATCCCTACCAATTACCAACTGAGGGACGTGCCGTCTAGGTAAGCAGTTCCTACACTGAATAAAATGGAACAGCAGCTACATTTTCCTTCTGTGGTGCAATATGCACCTAATTCAACAAAATTATGAAGGTAATTGTGATTATTATTCATAAAACGTATTTTTTTTTTTGTTTTTTGTAGATTTACTACATAAAAGTCACAAGCTGCTTTCACTGAATAATTACTAACGGCACGCACCTAATATATAAACACTATTTTTACTTACACAAAGACAAACAACAGATTTCGTCTTTGGAGAAACACCAGAACTTTTAAATTATTTTCGTGGTGTGGCTAAAATATTTCTTTTTAGTTCACCATGTCTAATACTTCCAAGAGTAACAGAAATTGATAGACTTTTTTTTTCAAACATTTGATTACGTTGTTTTTACGCCCCCAGATCTGTAGTAAATATCATTGGCATTAATTGGGGACTAGAGACGCCATTGTTCAAATATTAAACCCTAAAGAAAAACGTATAAAAGCGGAAATAAAAAGGAAAGGAAAGAGAATTGTATTGATAAATACGTTAGAGACAATATTACTGAAAGTCACTATATAAGTGAAAATCACTATATAAGATGCGTCAAACAAACAGAAAAAAGTATTTAGAAAAGAAAGCAAAGAAGAAAGACAACAGGAAGGAAAAAAGAAGTGAAATATGATTGTAAGATTAATTAAAACTTAAAAAAGACGTGTGATAATGATTTCAAAGCCACGAATTGATAAATTAATTAAGCTTGTAATTAATCTAAAACCAGAAAAGAATTAGAAAAATTAAGAAAATAAGAATTGGAAAGAAAGTAAAACGGAAAGAATGAAGAAAGGAATAATTTCAAAACAAAGTAAACAATCGCCACGTCTATAGCCGTATCATCCACTCCCTCTCCTAAAAAAAAAATCAAACAGGCGAATAAATCAGTAACATCTGCGTTATATATACATATATATATATATTGAAATGAAAAAGAAGTAAAGAAATTATTAAACCATTAACTTAACAATTGGTAACAATAAATAACTAACAACAAAGTCTATAATCAATGCGATGTCGTTGATTTTTATTCCGCGCCGAAAATAAAAAAAAAAAAACAAAACTTCCCCTTCCTCCGTACGATCCTTTCTCTCGCGAGAATTCGATGAGATTAACCAAGCAAACGGATGAAAAGAAAAAAAAAAAAACAATAAAAATCTACGGGGGCCGAAAAGTGAAATAATGTGTAAGTCAAACTCTCGGGAAAAGTAAAAGGTTCACGAAAATGAAATACTCACACGCAGCTTATTTTTTTTTGTCCCCCATAGCCTGCCTGTAACCCCAAAAACTTTTGCCAAGGATGATTGAGTATAGTCGATGATTGTTTGAAACAGATACCACCCTACACACTTAACAGATACAGATCTATAAAAATACATAAGAACAAATGTATACATGCATATATACAAAATTATATATATATATATACATACATACATATGCATCTATATATACAGACATATATCTACATACATATGTGTGTGTGTAAACGCATATATATGTGAATTCGTGTAATAATGAGACATATATACCCATTGTCTTTTTTGTAGCTTCAAATTGTGCGCGCCCCTAAACATTCATAAATACAGAATTGTCCAGAATTAGTGACCGTCAAACCTTTCCATATCTCTGCTTAACATTCGCTCAAATATTTGATATCAATAATTAAGTTCAAAGGAGGTTTGTTTTAAGATCTTGTCGGCAAAAGATACTGACATGTAGATCACGTACTCGACGAGAAAATGCAGTACGCGTTAAATTTTAAAGAGCGGCCTCACATACATCAATGTACTGATCTACACTTGCTGAATATCACAAATGCTAACGACACATTAAATATCCCAAATATATAATGTAACCTTCTGTGCATGAATCAACATGCAAAATATATGTAAATGCCTTCATTTATATATATATATATATATATATATATATATATATATATATATAATAATAAAAAATAGAGTTTTATGGTAAGCTATATGTATACATATATATATATGTGTGCGTGTGTGTGTGTGTGGACGTGTGTGTGTGTGAATGAAGACATCATTTATAATATTATTTCATCCCAGTGTAAATATACATATATGAAACTATATATATAACTATATGTGTATATATATATCTACAAAATCATATATATGTATATCTATCTGTCGCTCTCTAAATACACATGTATATGTGTTTGTGTGTGTGTGAATGAAGGCATCCTAGCTTATATATATATATATATATATATATATATATATATATATATATATATGCACGAATGTATTAACGCATATATATATGCACAAATGTATTAACGTATATATATATATATATATATATATATATATATATATATATTTTTTATCCAAGTATAAATATACATATAAGAAACTATATATATAACCATATGTGTGTATACCTATAAAATCGTATATATGTATATCTACCTATCTCCCTCTCTCTCTCTCTCTCCCTCTCTCTCTCTCTCTGAACATATATATATATATATATATATATATATATGTGTATATATATATATATATATATTCTTCTTCGATCGAAAACACATTACATAGACTGTAAACGCAGGTATATAGAATGCCTAACACACACACACACATATATATATATATATATATATATATATATATATATATATATATATATATAAAAAATTTTAAAAATATGTTTCACGTAAATCTGCATATCCCACCACGCACCCTCCCAACATATATATTTTCGTGGATACTCGTGTTTGAAATAGACACCTTGTTTTTTTTTAACAGTATGTATTGCGTCTATCGGCCTGCGCCCTCGAGAAAACTTCATAAATTCTACCCTGCCAGAAGGCCCATTTTCTTTATTAAAATAAAAAAAAACGGACCATCTATTTCAAACACTAGTATCCATAACGGTTTTCGTAATTAAATGCCATACAATAATATATATATATATATATATATATATAATTCGATTTCTATATAGCAATATTTCACGCAGATTTCCATATCCATACATATATACTATACACACACACACACATACATATGGGATAACGATATATAAAATTATATATCAAATACAATTTTGGGGAAAAGATGTATGACAAAGTTGAAAAGCTTTCGTTTGACACGTTTCGACCTTTAGGACTTCATCAGACTAAATTCGTGTTTACATTGATACGGCTACACATGCGCATGTACATGAGACGATGAGAATTTTAATTTTTTCTTCGTTTTGGGTATATAATCTATCCGAAATCATTTAGATTCTTTTTTATGTTTCCATCACTTTTATATAGATTAAATGAACATAAAAGGGATATTTTACAAAACAATATATTAAATCCATTAGTTACTTACTGTAACGAGACTGGCCACAATTTTATTTAAAATTGCTACTTTAACGAAAAAAATTCACTGAGACGAAAATGTATAGAAAGTGCTTTAATTGCTCGATCATCCACAGTCAATTTGCTTCCAAATTCTTACGTTTCACCATTCTTGAAAGATCTTCTGTTATCACAATATGGGATATTTAGAAACAAAGATGACGGAAGGAAAAAGAAAAATTCTAAATGAAATACATTAGATTATATATTAAAAAAATACATAATTTTTTTTTTACATATAAAAAATTTAAAAAACTTATTTTTTGAAAACGTGAGGCCCAGAAATCGCAGAGAGATGCTCTCGTGAAGTCAAGCATTAGCCATGCTGATAAGAGGATGGAGGTTTCTCAATGGTGGGTAAATGAGAGTAATTTCGTTTTGGAGGCATTAAAGTTTACAAGCCATTTCCTCCCCCAGTCAGCAACATATTGCCCGAAAGAATATATTGGTGAAACATCACGAAGATTAAATAAAATATTATATGAACACAAAAGAAAGATTTTAAAAAATAACACATTGAATGAATTAGTTGATCATCATGACTGACCACAATTTTGACATAAAAAATGTTACGCTAATTAAAAGTGGACATAATTCACTGAGAAGAAAATGTATAGAAAGTGCTTTAATCGCTAGATCAACCACTGTAAATTGACGTTCAGGTTCTTACAAGCTTTTATCACTCTTGGCAGAGCTTCTATTCTCACAATGTGGGATATTTAATAAGAAAAGTGATGGAAACACAAACAAAAAGAAACAAGTAAGTATCTAAATGAAATCAGCTATATTATATACCCAAATATATATATATATATATATATATATATATATATATATATATATATGTATTAAAATTTTTAAATTTTCAGCGTATCTCTTTCGTGCGAATGTAAATGTTTTTATTATAATGTGGATTTTTTTATATATTATACTTTATTTTCCTTATCTTTTTTGTCACACGTGTTTCGGATCTTGTGACCTTCTTATATATATATATATTTATTTTAGGATATTGCATCAAAAACATGTCAAAATCGCTACACAACTACAGTCGTGTTTCGATGATTTTTTTCGTAAAAAGAGGTTGTATTTTGCTTTTATATCAAAATAAATCGTTCACTCGCCAGTAATTAAGAATCGCCTGATGAGATGCATTGATATGCATCGAAACACAGCTGCAAATGTGTAGCGATTTTGACATGTTTTCGATGTAATATCCTAAAATAGATAATATTACTCTACTTTGTATTGAGCCCTCTTTTAAATTAAATGTTACGAACATTGGCATTCGGACTGTTATCCTTATCTTCATTGCCATATTCACAACGTTTCGGCCGTTGTACGCTCCGGCCTTCTTCGGATGACTGGAATTTCGAACCGAACATTTTATGCTCAAGAACACATGGCCTAGTGGATAAAGA